GTGCATACGAGAGCCACCACAACAATAAATTGGATGAGTGTGATGACGGGTGGATGTAAGATAATAACACTCACACTAATTTTCATTTACTTMACATTCAAGTACATAGCGTAACAGARCAGGATAGAAACTTCCTACCTATAACTTCTAATTATGGTCCGTACCMAATCGCGTACATATGCTATCTAGTACAGGGACCCACACGACACCRAAATGTATAGTAGAGCAGTACCCACGGTGGTGGGCCCGTTCGGCTTCCGTTTTACAAAAAGGTCAATTTCTACTCGGATCCCATAAAAAAGGTCTAACGAACAGGTAAATGCCTAAATGGCTCTGGTTTTTTACAACATAAATTCCTTCTCACTWTATACAGACTTAGGAATTGTCTCAAAGAAGGTGTGGTTAAAAATGTCTTGGTGTACACTAAGTAATAATTATTAAAATTATATAAAACAAAGCTTATAGTATAATATTTAATTTTTAACATTAAAACAAATATTTAAAATATATAAAAAAAAATTGTATAAATAAAAATACAAAAAAAAATCATATACCTGCTAAATTTTTTAAGCATAATTTTTTATATAGCCCATGCATACTATTTTATTTGATGAAAACTTGTAAATAATTTAGATCGTAAGTTAYTATGTAAGCTGTTTTGTAAGACAGCACATATTTCCAATAATATAATTATACAATAATACCTGTTTGTAAATTTTTTTCGGCTAGAGCCGTTTGGGAATTTACCTGTTCGTAAACCTTTTTTGACGGGACCAATTTGGAAATAAGCAAACTAAAGAYGGGTATTGTTTACTTGAGCACTTTTTTTATAATAAGTATCAGAATTCAGAATGCATTCTTTCTTATTATTAATCAAAATAATATTATGAGATTTTACCTAAATATTTCTGAGCATGTTGTTTTAGAAAATAAAATTGACTCACCACAATCATCAATCCTCTGGCCATCTCCAATTTAGTCTTAAAACTAATTTTATGGTTTAGAAATAAATACTAGGTAGCAGATAGGTTCCTATATTGTTAAATGGTATTAAGAAACTATAAAAGAGTTAGATTAACCTAACCTACTGGGATTTTCCAGAGAGCGTACCGCAATTACCTTTTTTAAAGTTCCAAGTGCGTCCAAAATAAGGCAACACCAGGCTTATACACTAAAATTATTTTGTAATTCTTATTCATGATAATATATTTTATTTTAGCTTTCACCCTTGAATTTTGGTGTTTATTTATTTAAGRAAAATGCTATTTAATTTTTAGTATATTTATATATGCTGGTGTTTGTTTTTAAGTATATGTATATCTGAATGATGTGAATAAAATAACGAATTTTACTTATAATGACAACTTTAACTAACATTTGTTGTCTTTTCAGAAATACTGCTCATTTTAGCAAAAACATAGAAATAGGAAACTTCCGAGCACGTATTAGGGGCTATTCATTATAATTTGTCGATAAGACTGCGGACGCATTCAGGCTATAAAAAAAGGTAAAAATTAAAAACGAAACGCACTCAAGATATCCCCAACCTACCTAMTAAGAGTTAATTAATAAAAACGTAATATAAGTAGCTTAAAAAATTAACTAGTATAAATATTTTTTTTAATTCATAATTTATATTTGGTTAACAATAAATGATAATCAATGAATAATTTAATGACTTCATCAATTAAATAATTAAATAATATTTATTGCTATACAATTGACGTGTCTCTGAAATTGGTCCTTCAATTATGTTTAACTATATTTAATTGACGATATGTCAACATAATATTATACAACAATAGAAACATAAATTAATTAAAACTCTTGTGAAATAGTTTGAGGAAAAATAACTTCATACTCCTGGATTCTAAGGAACATTCTCTAGACAACTTCTTTTACATCTGGCAAACAGCCTTGCCATTGTATTAGTTGTGAATGATCAGTAGTAGTAACTCACATATTATAATAGTATTTTTTTCCGGAGTTCATCAATTGTGCTGAATTTGCGACACTACCTGTATAGCATACATCTATTGCTCCGATGTAAAAAAGGTATATTTAATATTAAAAAGGTATAGGTACATCAATCCATCAATGTACTGAAATATTTCAAAAATCAATGACACAAACCGAATTAGTTAATTTTAATTTTTATAATTGGTATCTTCTCCATTGTACAAATTCTAAATTTCTATTTACATATTTTCTTTAACTAAGGTTTTCTTTTCTATACTTATGTGATCTTTAATCTTATTTTCTTTTTCAACGCAGTCTATTTTTAAGTACCTGATTGAAGTTGAATAATTTTTAGACGTTTATATACATTTAAGAATCGATCGGCGCCGTTGAACYTTTTTCTAATCTCATAATTGTTCTTTCATAGCCTGTCGTATTGCCAAAACTCGACACAAATGAAAGTAACGTTATTTCAAATTAATCCATCCACATGGTCCAGTATTCCGCATACRGAGCTGATTTCTTTGATATAAATTTTATTTGTGAATGGTGTTCAAAATATATATAAAAAAAAAATGATTGATTGTGAAAAAATGAGTTTAGTCGATTAAACATTAAAGTTTGAAATTTTCCAGATTTTTTAAAAATTTTATAAGATTTATTGCAATTTAAATTACAAAAATAAATAGTTAATTTCGTCTAAATTTAAACTTAAAATATCCATATAAAAACTGCTAAGTGTTTTTTAAATTTTTTGACAGTATGCACTAATTAAGGGAAAATAATCAAAAAAAGTTAAAAATTGTATCATATATTATCATGTTATATGAACATTTGGTTGTTGAGTTATACCAAATTTTATAAAAAAGTGGTTTTCCGTACAAATTACTATTTTTCCTTCTAATTTATTTTTTATTTTTCACGATGCCAATAAAAACTAATGACAATTTCTTACTTTTGATCCCTTTATGTAAACTAGATTAACTCTACTACTAAAAAGATTTAATATGATTTAAATCGGCCTTAATGAATTTTAAAGCTACTATTCAATAAATACAAATAACTTGTAGACATTTTTTTACTGCAACACTTACAAATTTTCATTTGCTTGAACTTTCTGAAACGATAATTCAGGATTATTTTTACTCCTTTTACTACAGCCCTAAAATTAATTAATAGAACGTGAAGGCATAATAAGTAAGGGAATTTAAGAAATATATAACACAGATAAATAGTCATGTAAAATATCATAGCCATATATATTTAGTATTTAAACAAACCATTGTTATTATTGTTCACAAATATTATAATTCCAAATAAAAGACATGATATTATATTCATAGTAATTTCTAATAAGTCAAGACAATTAAACTACTCTTAAAGTTTGGTATTTGTTGATAATCTATTGTTTATAATATAATATGTTAGAATTAAAAATTAATAGGCACCTACTTGACATGATATTAGATTCAACGCCGTTAAATATTTTGAGTAGGCAACTCATATGTCATCTGAGGACAAAGTGCTTCACACTTTGWAATCGAGCAGTCTCATATTCTTATCTAGTATCTAGTATTTGGTTTCTATCTAGTAACACGAATTATGAATTTATATCGTGTCTAGTAATCAGGGGCGTCATTTGGGGGATGGCAGGATGTGCGGTTGCACCCTTTACTTTTAGAATGYTACAGTTGGCCTGCGCCTTGTTGAAGCCTAATATAATGCACGAGCCACGAATGCACAATTATTTATATGATTAAAACCAAATTGTAATAGCCGGTCTATAATGTATGGAAATAATTGAATGCAGGATAATATACATAATATACGTATGTATACCTATTTTTATATGACCTGGTGAAATTTCAAAATGGCCTGCTTGAAACTTCGCACACCCGAAAAAAAACCTGAAATGACGCCCCTGCTAGTAATATGACTAATATGAGGTTTATGAAGTGCACGCATGTGAAACATAAAAACTATACTCCGCGCCATTGGGCCTACGAGAGATCACACCTTCAATGACCCGGTTTGTTATTGCAGGTCAACTTTTTCCCCACCGGCTGGTTATCAAAATTGTGTTTGTGCCTGCTTGCGCGATAATTGATAATATACACGTTTCGGTCGCCGGCTGGATGTGGACGTGTGGTCTCTTGACGCACGGAGTACAGTTATGAACTAATATTTCATAATATGAAAAATAAAATAATATTGTTACAGTCCAATAGTGCAATYATATGGAAAACTCTAATGTTTTCTTTGTTTACATGATAAATTAATAATTMCATTTATAGTACATTACATTTCATTACGTCATGACGGGCAACGGTCTCCGTGATAAGAAATCGGCTCAATGATAAGAAATTATAACTAGAGATGATAGCCAGTACAAATTTCGAGTTCATGATCACACCTTGTGGGCTGTGGCTGTCACGGCTTTAGATAGTACGGTTTCAGTACGGTGTATCACACTCTGTAGCAGAGGTTCCCAAACTGTCGGTCGGTCGGAAACTGAAAYAATATCTGTGTCAAMCGTTAAAAAAAAGATAATTAATACTATTGTAAGCCGCCAATAATGTAATTAATTTCCGAAATACCATGACAAGCTTGGAAACTTCTGCTCTATAGGATGCTTATGAGCCACAAAAAATGACAAATGTGTCCCCAAAGTATCGATTTTACCTAATACTCTGCAGCGCTATCTATCAATAGATATATCATTAGAGTTTATTTATATGACTTTAAATCCAATATCTATAATATTATTTTGCCATTTGGTTAGTTATTACAATATGCTGGAACACTCTATGATAAAAATATTTGGTGGAAAACATTCAGAACCCACTTTTTTTTGTTAATTTACGCAATCATACTATCTAAAGCCGTGACGATGACCCATATTGCATCATGACGTGTTAAGCGGCTTAATTAACTTGATAAGAACTTTTAGCGACGTAATTATATTCCCCCCGCTCTTGGAATCTAGTCGTCGTTTTCCAGATAATACAACACMACAAACAAAACATAATACCACCGAAAGTACCAAATTCCGAAGAGTCAACAAGCCGTCGTGTTGGTGTTCAACTACCGTCCATCCATATTTTTTCATTTTTTCTACATTTTTTCCTCCGCCTATTGGTCATTTCAGCTCGCGATCTGTGTCAACTTTTTTCGTATAATTATTTTTCAAGTAGGTAGTCGTCTTTACAGGCGCATCCTTGTCTGTTCGATTGATGTAAGATCTTAACTATACGTTTTTGTTCACGACAAGACAGGCTTTCGTATCGTTAATTCGTTCGGATTTTTCTGGTTTCCACGGCAAACAGTGCCCCCATTCCCGTTACTAACGCAGGTAATTTTCGAACTTCGTCTTTGTTTGATCTAACACATTAACAATTGATACCTACCTTTAATCTGTATTTAATGTTTGTCTATTTTGAGATTGACWGATTGACTTTAAAAACTAAATAAAGAAACATTAACATTGCCTTTTGCACTAATTTAGGTCTGTCTTCGTGTTGTGCGTGTGGTATGCCACTAACAATTTCTGACTTATCCATATTGTACGCTGCTTACCAGCACGATGTCAAGATCAACAGTTTCCAACAATGACCTGAGGTACACTTACGAYATAATCATTAAATTATTATTATTGCTCGTTATCTTAGTAACGTGATTTAATGTAGGTATGTGTTTTTGTTTTTGTTTTTTACTGTACTTATAGCAATGCTATTATGTAACCAAAATCAGTGTTTGGAAAGAACGTCGTTCATACGTATGTTCACACGTTCACGTTCATAACTAGTGAACGATACGCGAACGTCACTTTTTCTTTTTAAATAGAACGTGAACGTGAACGACGTTTATATTTTTAATGAATTTGAACGATTTTGAAGACGCTCAATTTATTTACTATTTAATAAATATAATATGTATATAATTTAGATACTTTAGAAAATGTATATGCTCTAAAGTCTAAATTGTTTTTATTTTTGGGTTAAGACCTATATGTTTATGGGTTTTTATACAAACTGCTGGTAAATTATTTATAAACAATATTTACATTATTTTAACTTGTATTAAATTATTTTTCTGCAAAAAAAATACTTAGTTTAATTTTATACCTAGATAGAAAGGACTTGGTATTTTTAAATCATACATTTTGAACAGTTATTTAAAGGTTGTTGTTGGAATTGCTTATTGCATGTATAATATGCTATAAAATATAACACTATACTTGTATATAATATTATGATAACTAATAAAAATAATTTCCAACAATAAAAGTATAGGTAAAATATAGTGTTAATTAATAATAAGTAATAAACATTAACTAATAACTTAAACATGAATAATAGATGACTTAACAATTAAACTGATAAATTAAATTTAGTATGATGTGTTTTTATCAATACTTATGTTGACTTMAATTGAAATTTAGAATTAAAAAGAAATTTAAATGTTAAATAGAATTTTTGATCTAATTGATGTCAGCTCTTTAAACATTTGTGACTATTTTTAATGTTTGATAATAATAACATTATTACCTACCTTTATGATTATTAATACAACTATAAATAAAATGTCAATTTTGTATATTAATAATATTTTCATAACCTTTAGGTAGTTATTATTTTTTTTTTATACAGATTTAATTTGGAAAAATATTTGTTATTATAGAATGAAAAAGCGTAGTTTGGCTGGTGATGTAGCCCTCGGCTTGTACGTTTTGGCTTTAGTGTTTGTGTTAATTTCATTTTTTTCAGCCAGTTGGTTAGTCAGCGATGAGAGAATCACAGGTATTTATTTTTTAACTTATTTTTTTTAATGTTTCATTTTACCGTATTTTTAATCTTCAGGTGCAAAATTAGAAAGATTTGGATTGTGGACTCATTGTTTTCGCTCACTAGCTGATCCTAATGATCTGGCAGAGCAAAGATTTTTTGTTGGATGCCACTGGATTTTTGATCCTTTCACCAAGGGATATGATGAAATCAAAGGATTTTTGTTACCATGTAATTAAATTAATGTTGTACGGTTTCTCAACATTTAAAATTTTAAAATTTGTATTTTTGTAGTTTACATAGTGGCAACTCAGTTTTTTTACACAATTACATTCCTGGGAACATTAGTATCAGCTGTTGGTTCGTCAATGTTTCTTTTATGTTGTATACCTGAAGAAAAACGGTTTGTACAAATAACTTTTGCTTTGGGCGTAACATTGATAATATCTGGTAAATTCAATATTTATAATTTATATTAAAAAATATTCATATTTTATTGCTAATCAAACATATATTATTTTATTTAGGTGTTTGTGCTGCAATATCAGTGTTAATATTTGCTTTGTTTGCCAACCGTCCAGGGTGGATGCCTGGCCACGACAACAACTTCTTTGGTTGGGCATTTGGTGTGGCTATTGCAAGTTTCTTTACTTTACTTGGATCTGGAGCATTTTATTTGATAGAAACAAATATACAAGTGAAAAAAAGAAAATATTTGAAAGAATCACAGACTAAATTTGCCATAGAGTTCAAAGGATAAGCTCAAATTAATTTTCAAATTTTAATTTAGACCATTAGAATATGTTTTTGATAATAACATTCAACCCGATCAGTATTAAATTATAATTATTTTCAAAATATAGTATCAAGCAATTATTTTTATAAAACTCATCTCACTTTTGTTTAAATAAACTCTACTATCCATACTATTTTAAATTATTTAAATCTTTATGTTATAAAAAGTAAGAAAATACAACTTTGATTGTTACATGAAACTGACTCCGTCCATTTATAACACTTTAAATAATATTAATTGTATTATTATTATGTGTTCACTTAATTTAGTTTTAATGTTTGAATTATTTACATCTGTATTAAACAGCTGTTAAAATAAAATAAGTATTGTATTTTTAAGATATTATTTTGTTTACATTTATTTTTCCAATTCAAGCAAACCTTTTAATGTATCTAAAAGCTTGCATTATTAAAGTTAATGATTTAGTTTTAAGGACATTTTGTACTGCAGTTTTGAGGTTCATCACTGTAAGGGATAAACACCATTCATTTTCATTTTTCTTATGCAATCTAATTTTTTAAGATTTATTTATGGTTAATATTATTTTTTTTATATATATATTCTAGAAACCAGATGCTTTGATATATTTTTATGAAACAAATACCTATTATATTATTTAATATAATATCACTGTACATTGATTTTTAACATCATTGCTTATCAAAAATATTGTAATAAGTTTTATTTTTTATAATTCCAAATATGTTTATTATTATTATTTTTAAGAGTATTCTTATAAGTTATTTAGMTATTTTCAAGTAACACAACATAGCTAACTGAGCTAATACTAATAAGTATAATTTTCTAGCAAAATTTCTTTTAACTATTTAAACTTTAATTTTGGATRATTATTTAATTGCTAATTAAAATTGCTTTATGATAAATTTTTTTTAAACTATACTTTCAAAATGATGTGTTTATCAAAAACTTAATTTACTTTATTAGTATTAGCCAAATATTATGTTGTAATTTGTATTTTCCGCAAACCACTGAAATTATTTTTATTTTTATTTTCAAATTAGACTAAATAACTTCATATATTATACAATATCATTCTAATTAAAGTTCTATGAAATTTATTTTATACCATTTTCATCATAGTATCAAATGTATTGTTAATACTTGTAATAATTATTTAAGAGATAAAATTGATTTTAAGAAGTTTATGACAAATAATTAATATTTACATATCAGTTCTTAACAATAATTTTATATTTATGAACTGTATTAAGAAAAATTGCTTTTTATTACAAAACACTACAAAACTTTAGTACCTTTCTATTAATATATATTTAGTAATTTAGTATACTAGTTATACTTGGTATTTCACTTCTATATTATTCAWTCATAATATGCCACCTTTGTCTCCCTGAAGTTCAGGGATAATTATATCAATRATAAAAATATCTAATATGTATTAGTATAAGAATAATTATTAATTATAGTATGCATCATTAAAAGTGTTATTCTTTAATAATTATTCATTAAACTACAAATATACAAAATAAACAATAAAATTACCAATTGTAAATTGTAGAATTTATATTTCAAAACAATTTTGAGTTCTAATGTTCCATATTTTTATATAAAACAATACAAATTAATAAAATTCAACCACATTAAATTGTGACATAAAAAATCAAAAAATAATGAATTAACTATCAATAATACCTAGTTATTATAAAGTGATAAGGAAAGTACATAGTTTGTCGGGCAACCATAATATTGTGGTACTTATCTATGTCTATGCTTAGTACTCCAATAGTCACATAGTCTCTACTAACTTTTGAGCTGATAAAAATTTGAAGTATAATATAGAACCAATATATATCCACCTTGTATAGAACTAAAATTTAAAAAAATTTCTTCTTGCTGCCCCTAAAATTTTGCCGCCCGGGGCCCAGGCACCCTCGGCCCCCCCTCCCCCCTTAATACGTCCTCGCCCTGAACTATTAGAGTAAGGACACTGTGTAGGACGGACATCATTACATATATTTTATTATAAATACTATTTATAATCAATTGTATTAGTTTTTAATTTTGATAAATGTGACAATTGTACTTAAAACATGATCAAGTCGAGAACAAATACACTTTTTTACAATACACATACATAAAATACTTATGAGATATGACACAGGAATCTAATAAGTTATTAATAATAACCAAAAACCAAATTGTATAAATTTTCTGTAAAATATCAAAAAATTAACTTTCTAAAGTAAAAAGTATTCTCAATACTGGAATCTGGAATGATAAATGATTAAATAATTCATTAGATTSAATATTAGAAGATAAACTACACAGGTGGCGCWACTTTGTAATAAAATAAATTAACTGGTAGTATACCTAATACCAGTTTTGTATAAGATACTTTTTAAAAGTATTTAAAATACGTGTTTGAATATTCAGTAGGTAACATAAATATTTGAGTATAAATGCAAATGCTTAACATTTTTTTATAAATAAATTTTTTTGACTTTGTATAATTAATCAATAAAATCTGATTTTCATGTTTTAAGTTAATTTTATAGAGAATTTCACATCAAATCATTTAGAAACATAAGCATTAAAGTATACACTTCTGATATTTTTATTTTAAGTATTAATTCACAGCAAAAAATCTTAATTTTTTTAAACTGATTAAAATTAAAACTTAATATAAAATATATAAACTTAAACAAATTAAGTATTATAAAATTAGTATTTGATTTTAAATGCAGATGCTTTAATAGAATATTTAAAATACGTATTTGAATAGTTTTACTCATCTACTTTACAAGGTTGTACAATAAATTATGGTAGAAGCCACTTCATAGGCGCAAATCGCAGGGGTGCTAAGGGTGCTTAGCACCCTGAATGTTAATCTTAGCATCCCAAATCCCGTGGTTATAACTTATAGTACTATTACCATCATATTTCCATAATAATTACATTTATTAAAAAAGCGGGTAAGTCGTAGATGTCGCTCTGCTGTACATAGTAGGTTACAAGTGGGTTACTGTAATGGATGGAATTAAATTTGAATCCAATGATATTATATCATTGTATACGA